TCCTTCACTGTAACACTGACTGCATAAGCTAAAATGTGATTTTATCTCCTTAAAGCGAGACCCAATGATTGGGTAACGACAAGTTGCACAAACATGGCTACCATGACGATTCCTATCCCCCATTTCAAGCTTCAGCAAAGTGGACATTATACCAAAACCCCAATCAGGATCATCAAACATTGCAGTGAATTCTGCTAAAGACACTAATGATGTGTCCATCTCCCCGTGAATTTCTAGCATTTCACTTGCTCCTTGGGAAGGAATGTAAATAGCTCTCAGCAGTTTAATGTACCTTTGAGCATCAGTTTTCCTTATTTGGCTGCTACCCTCATTCACAGGACGCCACAAAAGCGCCTCATATGCAATGCGTTTTCTTTTGTCTGGTGATCCTCCACAGACAGGAGCAAGAACAGCAAAGAACATGCCCAGATCCAGCCGACCTGATTCTGACTCATCTAAAACAGAGAGAACTTTCTGGTTAATGGCTTTAACAGCACCTATAAACGTTTCAGGCTTCAAGAATTTAAGCAATCTGTGCAGAATCTCTTCCAGTGAAGCCTTGCGTATTGACTTTTCAGGTACACCACCGGAATAAGACATTGGTACATCAGTTTCATTTATTTCCTTCTTTATCTGATCAACATCACAACGATTAAGACGAGTAATCCTCTGAAAACTTCTAATATCGAGAGCAGTAGATAAATCTGCTCTCAATGTGGTTTTCTCACCCACGGACTTGAACTTAGAGGGTTCAACAATGATAAAGGCCTCCTCCCCATTGCCACCACCATTACCCTTCAACTTCTTTTTCTGAAGTTGTTTCAAATGTGCTACTGCATCATGCAATTCCACTCTGTTCGTCATCTTCAGAGCTTCTTTCAAAGCTTTCTTAGCTTCCTCAGTTTCCCCAGCCCCCAATAAAGCCACAGCCTTATTGAGATGTGCTCTCCAGTGATTCGGCCAAACACTTAGTACCCTAGTGTACATCTCTGAAGCACGCTGATATCTACCCATATCCATGTATAGTCCACCTAAATTGTACAAGGCATCAACATGGCCAGGTTTCAAATCAATAGCTCTCTGAAACTCCTTGATAGCATTATCATCATCACCCATTGCGTGCAATGCAGAAGCAAGATCACAATGTGCATCAGCATAGTCACTCTTCATATAGATGGCCTCTTCTAATGCCTTAACAGCTGCCTTATACTCAATAGCATTATCATCATCACCCATTGCGTGCAATGAAGAAGCAAGATCACAATGTGCATCAGCATAGTCACTCTTCATATAAATGGCCTCTTCTAATGCCTTAACAGCTGCCTTATACTCACCCACGCCAAAAAGTGCACTACCCAAAAGTTTCAAAGCTCTAATTGAGTTACTAATTGAATCACAAGAACTTTCAGACATGGTTTTAGGTCTGATTTGAGGGAGACGACAGATAGATGAAAAATTGACTACAAAATTATGACCAACACACGATAGATTCGACAAAGACAAGGTGAAATCGATGAGACAAAGTGGAATCGACGAAGACAAATTGGAATCGCGGCAACGACCAGGGTTTTGTTGTGAGGGATACGCGGGGACCTCCGACTAGGGAAAAGGGACGAATTTTGGTGTTTTAATTAGGATCCTTTTAGAGGAATGAGTTGGACACAAAATAGCAGCCTCTCTATAATGTTCACAGGCACTAATAACCATACCTTCGCCTTCAAGGGCAATTCCCAAATTCACATGAATCTGAGGAAGCAAATAAGCCCACTGACTGCCGCCAGCTTCAGCAGCCTCCAATGCCAGCAAGAACTCCTCTTTCGACTCACTATGTCTCCCGAGCACATACAAACAATTGCCAGCCCTGAAATGTGGCCTAACATCAGCAGGCTGCAACTCACAAGCTCTCTTGAAGCTCACCAATGCTTCCTTAAACAAATGTTGATCATACAAAACCCTGCCAATTGCCATGTGACCATCAAAAGCTTCTTCCCTTGACCTCGACCCATCAGCCCTCGACCTCAACACACCCAACTCCTTCACAAACACAGCATAGTCATGTCCAGTCTCCTCCCAATTAACCCGTTTATCCGTAATCTCAGTCGAAGGCCCTAATTCCCTCGACCAACCTTCCGAATAAACATCAGAATTATCATTCTTCAGCTTCCCATCTTTCGATTGTTTCGATTTAAGCCTCTTGATCAATATCTCAAGGTCATCTACAAGCTTCCAAGTATCATCAAACACAATGCCATGATTCGGAGAAGCTGCCCAAGCTGCAGTCCGCTGTTTCTTATGCGGCTCCATCACTCTCTCATCCGCAATCGACGACGACGAAGCCTCTTCCGCAGCAATTGAAGTTCCAGCATTATCCTCCGGCTTAAGCTCAAGCCCAAGCGCGTCAAAATCACGATCAACATCACCAGCACCATCATCATAGGTACGCAAAAGTCCCTCATAAGTAAGCCCCTTTTCACCATCAATAAACTCGCTGTACGTACGGAAAACCTCATCGAGAATAGCATTAATTTGCTCTTCGCTAAACTTAACCCTAGGGTTTACAGCGACCACCAAAGCTGCCATTTCCTCTCGATTAAGACCCCCATCATGGTTACCGTCAAATTGCTGAAAAATCCTCTTCACCTTCTCCGATCTGCTTCCCCTCGAAGCCATTTTCCAAAATTAACGCCAATTCAAGTACAAATTCTAACCTTTCACGTAATTGGGTGTCGAAAACTTCAGTCAAGATTCAAACTTGGTGAATAAAAGGTAGAGAATCTGTAAAAAATAGGGTTTTATACTGAAAGCAAAAAAAGATAGGATTTTTAGGGTTAGGGTTTCAAAAGGAAGATAAATTAAGGAAAATGGGAGAAATAGAGAAATGGGTATTGAAAAAAGATGAATTTTTTGGTAGCATTTGGATCTGGAGAATGAGAAAAGGGAAAAGATGAAGAGGAAGAAGAAGAAGACAACTGTTTTCTGTTTACATTTTTTTTTCCTTTTTGTTCTTCTTCTGATTGTGACGATAGGGAGTGGTGGTGGGGCAGAGTGACTGGAAAATTTCAAAGATCATAGAATTTTATTTTTATTTTTTTTGCTTTTTTTCAATTTGTTTGGCTAAAATAAGAAAAAGTTTCCAACTGTCAAAGAAAAAAAAAGGTAATTAGTTAAAAAGAAAGTGATTTTTGAGATTTTACATTTTAATTGGTAGATGAGAACATGGGAGTTAATTATGATTAGTACTGTAATAAACACCAAACATGTCAATGTCATGCATTATTTGTTTTGGTTAGGTTAAAGTTTATCTACCTAGGGTATTTTTAAATTAAGAGGTTAATAATGTGTATTGTTTAGTTCATTTCTCAATTTCTATGTAACATCAATTAATATGAATATTGTGATAAAATATTTATATCAATTATTATTTTTAAAGAGTATGTAAAATTCAAAATAGACAAATAAAAATGAATGAATTAAAGAAGACACGCTTGGTTCGAAGGTGATGGAGGAAGTATGATTTAATGATAATCATGTTTGCAAAGGCTTATAGTCTATGCATTTTATTGAGTTGTGGTGAATATCCGATGTGAATAATTCTTTACTATTTTGGTGTGCATATTTAGTCATATGTTTTGTGAAATCATATTTAACTTCTAACACATTTTATTACATTTGTAATTGTTTTCATGTTTCATTATATTTATTTTGATTACGCTTATGAAGAGACACACATTAATAGTATTAGCTGTTAAATACGAATGAAATTTTGTAGTAGTGACTAGATCTACGGTTTATAAGTTTCGAACCGCTATAATGACTGAACCTAATAATACAATTATTATATCACTTCAAATTTTATATTTATTTTATGACGATTAATTTACATTTACATCGAAAACTCTCTTTTGTTTAGAAAGTTAGTTCTTCATACCTTTTCTTCATAAATTTTACCTTTTGCATTGAGAATGAAACAAGAAATTTCTGGATTACCCTTAGATCGAATTGATTTTGCTGTTTAATTTGGAAAAAAGAAAGTCAAATTTAAAAGTGACATATATAGAGATAAATATTATATTTTCCTTGAAAGTTACACATTGCATTGTCATAACCTTGTTCTTGTAGTTAACTTATTCTTGAAAATTATTATTAATTAGTATTATTTCAGTGATATTGATTGATGAGTTGAGGAATTAATGAACAAAAATACAACTCTAGAATCTTAAATCCCAAGTTTACTCACATTATGAAGTTTTCTGCTAACTTCATGGCTGCCACTCATCCTATTTCTATCTTCTAATAATTTTTAGTCAATGTTGAATGTTGATCATTATTTATTCATGATGTGGCAAGACAATTATCATAAATTAAAACTCTAATTATTAACTTGAAAACTATATTTCCACAACTTATTTAAATGGAACCAAAATCATATCGAGACGTAGAAATAATCCCAGTAGTTCAAATTCCCCTTTTTAACTACATGATCATGATCATACAATGTGCTTTAGTTTTCATTTCACTAGAACAACACAATTTAGCAACTTAGTCCTATAAGTGGGATCTAGAAAAGGCCATATACGAAAACTTTATCCCCTATCTGTAGCGTAGTAAACTATTTCCGATCAAACCTCCGCTTAAGAAAAACAAAAAACACAACATTTATGAAGTTACCATTTGCATAAATAACTTATTTTAAAAATATATCCACAAATGAAACAACAACATGGACACCATGTAAAGAGTGACCTTGAAAAAACCAATAAGGATTGTGATGAAATGGTAAGTATTTCTTCATCTTTAACCAGAGGTCTCGGGAGAGAACACTTTACCCTCAATATGAGACTTTCCAAAATGAATTTAAATTTAGTCAAATTCTAATGTGATATCAATTATCGAGTGGAAAATAAAAAACACATGGACATAATGTAAAGAGTGACCTTGAAAAAAAAGCCATATGGTGCAAATGGATAAAAATGTAAAATTTTCTCATTTCTAACGGTGCTTATTTAATTCCTTACAAATTCCAGTTGAGTCGTTATTGTTTTAGCGGTAGCTGTTTATTTCAAAGCTCCGTACAAATCGCTTAAAAATGCAAACACAGAAAACAGTGAGCGTCGCAGAAAAATTCTCAGCTCAAATTTGTTACATTTTCTCCACCATAAATCTCAAATTCCGAGTTTTTAGCGTGTTTTCAGCTCACCCCATTATCTTTACAACAGCAAATATCATCATCTTCACCTCTCCTCCCAAAAAAAAAGAAAAAAAATCATCACAGTTTCTTCTTTTTCTTGCATAAACCACAAAATTTTAATTGCTGTACTTTGGTTTGCCAAAGATAATTTTCAAATACCACTACCAGCACAAAAGGTGAGCAAGGTGATGATTATAATAATTTGAAAAATATAGAACTTTTTGTAAATGATTATGGTTCACAGGTTCAGTTTGTGGGGTTGAGGTGTTTGATGAAATGCGTCTAAGAACTGCATGTTTATGAGCTAAAGAACAATTTTTTAGGTGTTTTTTGTTACTGTTTTTTTCCTCAGTTTGTGGGGTTGAGTTGTTTGACAGAATGCATTCAAGAGTTGCATTTTTATGAGCTAAAGAGCCCATTTTTAGGTGTTTTTTTATTACTGATCTTTCTCAGTTTGTGGGGTTGAGTTGTTTGACAAAATGTATCCAAGAATTGCATGTGTATGAGCTAAAGAACCCATTTTTAGGTGCTTTGATTTCCAAAACTATTTTGCTTAGTTTGTGGGGTTGAGTTGTTTGACAGAATGCATCCAAGAATTGCATGTTTATGAGCTAGAGAACTCATTTTTAGGTGCTTTGATTTCCATTACTATTTTTCTCAGTTTGTGGGGTTGAGTTCTTGACAGAATGCATTCAAGAATTGCATGTTTCTGAGCTAAAGAAAATATTTTTAGGTGTTTTTTTGCATTTTATTTCCTGATGTTCTGTTGTCTGAATTTTGGCAGATAAGAAGATTATATACGAGGTTTCGATCAAATTAGGCATATACAGAGAGTAGGGAGGTGGTTATAAGGCAGTTCCTCTCTTTTAATACAAAGAGAGGGACCATATGAAGATTTGTGATTCATTGATATAATCTATTTGCTGGTCCTCTTCAAGTGCATTGATTCTGGGGAAAGAAGAGGGTGCTAAAAATGAGCTCAGTGTATGGGGAGGAGGCATCTCAATATGGTGATGATCACGGATCAGTTGCACATGAAGAGAAAGAGAAGATTTTTGTTGCAGTTAGATTGAGACCTTTGAATGAGAGGGAGATTACATGTAACGATGTCTCGGATTGGGAATGCATCAATAACACCACAATTTTGTATAAAAATTCTATGTCAGAGCGTTCATTGTTTCCAACTGCTTGTGCATATGGTAAGCTTCTTCACATTTTCATTTTCCTTTGCGTTGTGCTTTTATTTTTTGAATTGAAAAGATTCCTCCTTAAAATTGGTATATGCAATTGAACAGACCGAGTATTTGGGTATGATTGCTCCACAAGGCAGGTGTATGAGGAAGCCGCCAAAGGAGTTGCTCTTTCAGTTCTTAGTGGTATTAATTGTAAGTACTAACCCTTGTTCACGGTCCATTTTCTTCACCTACGTAATGATGTTACAGTAATAACGTATGAAATGTCTTTGCAGCAAGTATCTTCGCATATGGACAGACAAGTAGTGGGAAAACGTATACTATGTCTGGAATCACCGAATACACATTAGCAGATATATATGATCATATATGCAGGGTGGGTAAACCTTTCCTATTCTCCTATGCAATTTATTTATGTTGTACAGAATTCAGAGTGTCTGATGCTTTTAAGGTACCTTTTTATTTTCAAAAACTTTTAGACCGTAGACCGAGAATTTACACTAAAATTCTCTGCCATGGAGATATACAATGAAGTTGTTAGAGACCTTCTAACCCCAGAGGACACTCCACTTAGACTCCTCGATGATCCAGAGGTGAATATATGTTTTAAGCATGATCAAGTTTTGTTTTATTCACAGACAATATTATGCAAGTAAGTAACCTCTTTCGTTTACAGAGAGGGACTGTAGTTGAAAAACTTACAGAGGTAACACTGAAGGACTGGAACCATCTAAAAGAACTGTTGTCAGTATGTGAAGGTAAAAGGCTGAGACTGCTATATAGTGTTTCCAGCAGGTTAATATGATATAACTTCAATTGTTACCATTCTTGCAGCTCAAAGGAAAATAGGAGAAACTGCTCTCAACGAAGTGAGCTCAAGATCTCACCAGATTCTGCGTTTGGTTAGTGCATTGGTTACAAGATGGTTTATGAATAATAATATATAAAGGAAATATATCATTTTCTTAACTTGGACAAATGATCTTTTTGCAGACAGTTGAAAGTACCGCTAAGAAATTTGTTGGCTTAAACTCAAGCACTCTGACAGCTGCAGTGGTGAGGAAAATTACCTCTGCACAGACATCACTTAGAAGGATCATTGGAGTCCTTGTAAGTTCCTATGAAAATGATTGATGGACAATATTTTGTTCTTTTTCCTGCAGAATTTTGTTGATCTTGCTGGAAGTGAGCGTGCTTCTCAAACCATGTCAGCAAATGTAAGATTGAAAGAAGGCAGCCACATCAATCGCAGTTTGCTGACTCTTGGAACTGTCATTCGCAAATTAAGGTTGCCACATAACTACAGTTTGCTGAGCTTCAAATTTATTTTTGTTTTGGCTTCTTCCTTAGATCGCTAAAAGGCTATTTCAATAAGTCTTGTTCATTGATATATCTTTGTACTTTTATCAGCAAAAAAGGAAATGGACATATTCCTTTCAGAGACTCGAAGCTGACACGCATACTACAGAATTCATTGGGAGGCAATGCCAGAACTGCCATCATTTGCACCATGAGTCCTGCACATAGCCATGTTGAGCAATCCAGGAACACTTTGTTGTTTGCAACTTGTGCCAAGAATGTCATTACTAACGCAAAAGTTAACGTGGTAATGTCAGAGAAGGCACTGGTGAAACAATTACGAAAAGAACTAGCTAGATTGGAAGCTGAGCTAAGGAGTTTATCGGCACTTGCTGCCTCAGGTGGATCTGCAGAGGCTCTGAAAGAAAAGGAGGATCTGATAGAAAAGGTAGCAATGGTGACTTAACCTTCGCAATATCTAGTATTCTGGGAAAATCCTACAATATCTTTTCATACATTATTCTTCAACCTAATTGTGATCTCTTAGGACTTCTCCATCATGCCTAAAAGACATGCAAGACAAGAATTGCTCCAAAACTAAATGTCTCAATGATGATTTATCTTTTGGTTTGCTATGGATCTCAAAAACTTACTGTTTTAGCATCAAACATGTGAGTCTATTAATACATATGGCCGCTTTTTGGTGCAGTTTGGGCGCAGGACTTTAGTATTTGTCATAGATGACAGTTCAGATTCAGTGTTTCTCAATGATTAAATATTTATCCAACTTCAATTGCTTGAACTTCGATCTAAGTATAGTGGCTTTCATTCAAGACAAGACATCCATAACCTATTCCCTTTTTGTATGATGATGCAGATGAGCAGAGAAATAAGGGAGTTAACCCAGCAGCGTGATCTTGCTCAATCTCGTTTTCACAATTTTCCAAGTTCAGGGTCATGGGTACGTGTAGTTAGTCTTGAATGAGCTCATAAACTTTTCAATTCATAATATACATCAGGGAGCTTGATCTGTTCTCTTTCTCATGTAGACTGAACTGAGTAGTGTGTCATCTCCTGATAAGGCCCAATGGCTGGATGACTGTGCAGCATCAGAAGTATCAGAATGTGTATATCCTTTTCGTCCTGATGGCGCTGTATATCAATATGGCAGATACGAAGGCCTTAATTCTAACAAGCTAGGGGAACAGATTCCTGAACCTCCAGAAGATCAGTATCTCTGTGATGACACCTCCCCAAGGCTGTTTATTGAGAAATATTTTGGACCTGATCCATGCAAGGGATGGGAAAACAGTGCTCAAAGAACTGTTCAAAATTTGGAAGATAACTGCAAGGAAGTTCAATGTGTTGAAGTGGATTCAAACACGAAGAGTATAAGCTCGGATAAACATTCATCACCTCGAAAGGGAGATCAGGAGTCGAGTTTCATTGACAAAGATCATAACGATAAAGAACCAAAGCAAACTAGCAATCTGGTCGTGGAACACTCTTCTTCTTCTTCTTCCGACACAGATTCTGACTCAAATAACTTACCAAGGAGCAGAAGCAGTGAAGCAATAATGATTAACGTGCCAGTATCAGAAGGATCTGAAGTAATTAAGGAAAATGGGGACATATCAAGTGAATCTGAGGAAGAGTCATCTATTAAAAAGATTGATATTGAGGAGAAAACTTCTCAACCGGAGCTTTCTGCTGATAATGTTAAGGTGTTATCAAAAGAACACAACCACAGTTTCACGATTGAAGTAAAGCTCAAAATGTCAGGTGAAGACAGTGAGAAGATTTGTGTTGAGGAACCCAAAATGTTAGGTGAAGATAGCACAAAAATTTGTGCAGAGGGTGAGGTTGCCAAATCTGTGCCTGAGAAGCAATCAGGGGATAATTTGGTAAGTAGCTAACTTGCTGCTTGAGATTAATAGCTAGAACTGCACATCCTCTTTAACACAAAAAAATTCTTAAATGCTCTGCTAGTGTATACCCATTTACATACTTAGATAAGTTCGTTAAGAGATCATAAGAAATTAACTTTATCTTGTTAGGTCCAGGATAATGAGCCAACCTCCAAGGACTTGGGAAACTTTGCCGGTGATTCCTTGAATTCAGAGAATGAATCAGAATTATCTCCTTCTAGACAGTGGATGGAATTTGAGAAACAAAGGCAAGAGATAATAGAACTATGGAATGCATGCAATGTGCCCCTTGTTCACAGAACATACTTTTTCCTACTCTTCAAAGGGGATCCAACTGACTCAGTTTACATGGAAGTGGAGCTTAGAAGACTGTCCTATCTTAAGAACGCATTCTCTTTAGGAGCTAAAGTTGTGAAAGACGGTCAAATTTTCTCACAGGCAGCAAGGTACTCATTTATATCTTTTTATTTTCTGTAGTTTTTGGAGATTGCTTGCATGGGCTGCTATGTCTTAGAGTTCTTGTCCCACTTTCACAAGCAATGAGACAAGACAAAAATTTAATATAGGGAAAATGGTCAAAAATACCCTTCTACTATCTGAAATATCTTATTTTACTCTCCATTACACTTTAGGATCATTCATACCCTTCCTTAGCAATTCGTCTCATATTTACCCATGATGATAACGAAGTTCTAACATGAAGTATAACAAAGGGTAATTTAACCAAAAGTAGAGTCTTAACACCTTTTTCCTAGAAGTATTTTGACATGTGAAGTCCACATTAGAGCTCTGCTAAAGTCAAGGGCAAATACGAGACAATGTGCTAACAGCAAGGATATGAATTATCCAAAAATATAGTGGGGAGTAAGATTAAGATATTTTGTACAGTAGAAGGGTAGATTTCGAAGTTTTTTCCTTTAATATATTTCAAGCATGTAAAATTCATCTATCTGAAAGTGTGATAAAATATTGATGCAAAAGTACTCTTATCCTTTCGAACAGTTTAAATGCTCTGAATCGCGAGAGGGAAATGCTGAGCAAGCTGCTTCTTAAGAAGCTTTCTTCAAAGGAGAGAGACAACCTATACGAGAAAAGGGGCATTGGTCTAAAAACTAAAAGGAGAAGACTTCAACTGTGTCATCAGTTATGGAAAGATACCAAAGACATGGATCACATTAAGGAAAGTGCAGCACTCATCTCAAAATTAGTTGGATTCGAAGCACAAAACGAAGTCCCAAAAGAGATGTTTGAACTCAACTTCTCACCAGGGCCAAAAAATCTCAGGTCTTTCAGCTGGAAACCAAGAAAAGCCTAATGTGATCTTCTAAAGCAAAAGATTTAAGGATTATTTGAAGCATTGTAGTAGCTTCAAAATGAATTGACCCCCCCCCCCCCCCCCCC